CAATGACTTTGATTATGAATATATTCTTACGTGGCGAAAAATCCTAGGACAACGTGTTAATCCAAAAGACCCAAAGCTTAATTTGATAGCGGAGCAAGACCACACAGTATATAGTACCAATTGTCAAGCGTTGTAGAATAAACATTTCAACCCAATTAAAGCGACCAAGGAAGCACCCAACCAACCAACCACGATACATCGCTTCACCTAGTCATAAAAAACAATGACTTTGATTACGAATATAATCTTATTCACGTGGCGAAAAAATCCTAAGAAAGCCTGTTAATCCAAAAGACCCAAAGTTTAATTTGATAGGTGGAACGAGACTACACAATATACAGGATCAATTGTCAAGTGTTGTAGAACAAACATTTCAACCCAATTAAGGCGACCAAGGAAGCACCCAACCAACCAATCGTAATACATCTTTTCACTTAGTCATGCAAAACAACGACTTTGATTACGAATACAATCTTTTTCCCGAGGCGAAAAATCCTAGGACAGCCTAGGCTGTTAATACAAAAGACCCAAAACTTAATCTAATAGGCAAAGCAGGGCCGTACAAAATACAGGACCAATTGTCAAGTGCCGCAGAACAAACATTTCAACCCAATTAAAGCGACCAAGGAAGCACCCTCTCAACCAACCGCGATACGTCGCTTTACTTAGTCGCAAAAAACAATAACTTTGATTACAAATATAATCTTATTTACATGGCGAAAAATCCCAAGATAGCCTATTAATTTTACTGCCCCGCTAGCGAACCAACAACGCAAACAATAATTTATAAAAATAAAAAAAAAGCGAATCTATTGAGAGGAATATCTCCCTCAAAGATGCAAAGTTGGAACAGAACAGAGCAACATGACAACAATACGGACTAAAAACGCAGAAAAATGGACAACGAGCGACCGCTGTTTTCGCACGGCCGGCCTCGGGGGGGGAAGAGGAGCAGGAGCAGAGAATATCAAAATAATAACATTCCAAAGGATCGCCACCGCGAAAACCGAGGGGTGCCAGGTGAGGCTCACGTGTTGTCCTTCCGACCTCGTCCGATCTCCACGTACGCCGCGAATCTCTGCCGAGCGGTTGGTGATCCCGTCACAATTGTCGCCGAAAATCATTAACTATTTTTCTTGGAATTTCCGTGTGAATTATGATTTCGAAAATACGTTTCGATTGTGTTATTTTCATGAAATAAAAAAAAAAATTCTCGATTTAATCCCACAAAAAATCTTAAACTGGTACACCTGTGACAAGTTTACCTAAAATTAATTTTTTGATCATCGGAAACCCCAATCTGATACACTTGTGACAAATTTACCATCTGTTAGTTTCCGTTGAATTTTACCGTCGAATTATTGAGTTGGATGACATGTGGCAGTTGATGGGTGTACCAGTTTGAGGTTTTACCCTCCATTTGTCATCGGAGTACCAGTTTGTGATTTTTCGTGATATTAATCAAACGGACGGTAAATTTGTCACAAATATACAAGTTTTGGATTTTTTATGGATAAAAAATTAATTTTGAGTAAATTTATCGCGGATGTACTAGTTTAATGTTTTTGATGATCCAAATATTTGTTTGTAGTAAATTTATCACGTGTGTGCTAATTTGAGATTTTTCTTAATATTAATTATGTTTTATTTGATAATATTTTCCAACACTGCCTTCGAAAACCCATTATTTTTTAGGTCGTTTTCGTTGCCCGGAAAACTGGACCATGCGTGCTGCACCCAGGTAGGCACCATAGCATCTCAAGGAGAGTGAGCTTGAGATAATACTGTTGTAATTTGTTTGCCAACTTTCTTGACGATTCGAGAGAGGGAATCTCGAGATTTCTAATCAAACTCGATGAGTTTGTACGTACGTGTTTGTAGGGAAAATTACCAAAAAAATCCTAAACCTATTGCAATTGTGCCAATTCAGTCATAAACCTTTTTTTTTGCCAATTCAGTAATAAACCTTTTGCAATTGTGTCGATTCAGTCAATCTGGCCACTTTTAGACAGCTGGTGCTGACGTGGACGCCGGTCGGCCAAAAGTGGCCGAATGGATTGAATTGGTACAATTGCAAAAGGTTTAGAACTGAATTGGCAAAAAAAAAAGATTTAGAACTGAATTGGCACAATTACAATAGGTTTAGGACTTTTTTGGTAATTTTCCCGTGTTTGTATGTATCTAGGTCATGTCAGGCTTGTTTGTGTCAAGGTCATAAGAGGCCGTAATTTTCACAACTCTTGTAAGGATATCCAACACGGATATCCACATGCAAAACTCGACTCATTCCCTTCAATGGCATACGCCGCTAATTATGCTTTGATGCTATTTTCCTCGTTACTAACGTTTTATCAATCAACAACTAAGGTAATAACGCATACAATCGATCATTTTCACCGTGATAATCCCAGAATCTTCAATCTTAATTTCGGCCACGTATAATCATTTGGAAGCCGGGATGCGTTGGAAAGAATTTCTCTCGAGCTTCCGATCTCGAACGTAGACGATGCGTTTTTAATGTGCACTGCCGGCTTTCGCATGTTAGATTGCGGCGAGTTGGCCAACAACACGACCTAATACCTCCCAAAAGAAGGGGAACAAGATCATCGAAAACGAAAACGGGATATCATAAAATAGCGATCTATCGATGATAGATGGATAGGCATCTTCCATTTCCGTGAAAATTACCTACTAAAATTTGAACTTTACAACTTTAGCAAAATCCATGAGAAATGTGGTACCTAACAATGCAAGTGGGTAAAGTCTATTAGGCTTTGTGGTCCGTCGAGATGCCCACATCAAAGTTGCGTAATTAAGAAAAGAAGACACCTTCTCGTTATCCTAAGTTTAGTGCAATTATATATTCCATTATGATTGGATTCCCTTCCATCTACAGCATTTTGTTGATCCTTAAAAAAATAAATTATGAAAAATAAATATACTACACATGGCCGGTATCACGGGGAACGCTCCCGTGAACGCAATAGAAAGACCCGTTTAGTAAATTTATTTAGCATGCGAATTTAGGATCCATAATATTATTCATTTTTTTTAATACCGGAGTGCGTTTTTTATAAAAAAAAAAAAGAAGAAGAAATAGTTCGGAAAATTTAATTTTACCAAACGTGGAAAGTCTCGCGCATGCACCATCGATCATCACGACGCGCATTTCCTTTGAAATGATGTCGAGGATTATCAAATTTGCGGGTCGAGAGGGACGAATACACGGCCGCTCGGAATATTTCTTTCTTTTTTTTTTTTTTGCCTTGAATTTCAAGAAAGAGACGGAAGGGATCCACGGCGGGGGACTGCGCGTCCGGAGCGCCAGTGATTCGTCGCCACGTGTCGGGGGGGGACGGAGAAGATATTTTCGCGGTCCGAGAGCAGCTGACAATGCGTCCGTGTCTTCCTCTTTTTATTTATTTATTTATTATACTGATTAATATTAATATTAAATTTAATTTTTTTTTTTAAGTCCAAGGACGAAGCGACGACGCTGCATAAATACGGGTGCGGCTCTGCGGGGGGAGAGGCAGCTCCAGGCGCCATTGACGCACCAAAAGAGAGCTCGGAGAAAGCGAACAACACTCGAAGATAGAGAGAGAGAGAGAGAGAGAGATTGGCGGTGAAGAAGAAGCGCTTTCTGGAGAGAGAGAGAGAGAGAGAGAGAGAGGGAGGGCGTTTCTTCGCTGATCAGGGAGACCGAGGTTCGTTCCTTCTTTCCCTATTCGATCCATCTCTATCGGTTGCATGCGCAGATACAGACGATCCCCGATCCCGATCCCTCTCTCTCCGAACGCCGATCGCATCTCCCTCCGATCGATTTCTTCCCTCCTCGAATCTACCGGACGAATCTCCGCGATTCTAGATCCTTCCTCCTCCTCTGGAACGCGCCATTTGCTTCTTCTTTTTTTCCCGTGTGGACGCGCACGATTGCACGCGACCTCTTCCGTATAGATTTGGATTTTTCTCTCGAATCGTCGAAGAAGAAGCTTCGTCCGTAATGGATTCGCGCGAAATCGTTCGGTGTCTTGGTTCTCCGTTACGTACGTTACGAGTTGCATGCGGATTGCTTACTGCGCTTCGTAACGGCGTTCGACTACGTCGCCAGCTTCCGTTTCCCTTTTTTTTTTTTTTGCCCTTTTCTGCTTGACGGTTCGCTTCGGCGAAGTCTGCCGTTTTCACCGGGCGGCATGCGAAGCGCCTTGAAGGCGCGAATGATCTTCCGGTTCAAAACACACCTTATTATTATTATTATTATTATTATTGATATTGTTATTTTCCGAATCGGTCATATTCACTTTTCTATCGTGTATTCACATGTGATCTTTGAATTACGTTCTTCATTATTTAAACGAGCGGGGGATTTGTGGAATTTCTGAAATCGACATTGACCAGAAAATCTAATTTCCAGAACGGTTGAAGTCGCCATCTTGATTTGAGCCTCTTCGTGGAAGAGGACAAGTCACGGAGCCCTTCATCCATGGGCACGATCGTGACGTCCGAGGTGGAGTTTGGTATCGATCGAGGGAGATTGATGGGGACATTTGGTGGGTGGATCGTGCCGATGAAATTTCGTGTTTCTTCTTTTGACTTTTCTATGTCCATCAATTTTTGCACGCTTCTTGATTTCGTATGATCAAACGCATAAATGAAGCGAGAAAATCCAGGGGCAGCGTTTGTTTTGCGAATAATGAATGATTTAGAAATTATTTTTTCCTTAAAAATAATCGCTTGTAAATATGAATGAACGGGAAAAAAAATATTTTCATCGTTCACGATAATGTCTAGATACATATTATTGTTGATAATAAAAATATTTTTTATTAACTAATTATTTCAAGCGATTCGATGACTAATTATTTCAAGCGATATGGGCGATCATTTTTAGGAAAATATTTTCTAAATCATTCATTTTATGCAAAACAAACGGAAGCTGAAGTATTTAGCAAATATCTTGCGCCTACTCCAACTGTTTCGAAAGTGGCTGAAATTTGGTATTGCATCTTCAAAACATGCATTATCAAATGCACGTTTATTACACTTGCAACACTGTGGGTTAGCAAATGCACGTTTCTAAACACTGCAATACAATAACCAGTCTTTAAATCAAGTTCCTCACCTCCCTTTTATTGTAGAGCGAACTCATTTGAGATTTCAACATCAAAACTTCACCAATAAATTCCGTGAAAAGCCTAATATATATACACACATCACTACGTCAACCATAAGCCTCCAAAACACTAGATGAGGGGCAAAATTGAAATTCCAAAGTGATTAAATCTCTAGCACTTCAACCCCAAATACCTCAAATCCTTGGCTTTTTAAAACTTCAATCTAAACCTTTCTCGTCGTACTTTGGTGACTTAAAAGTCCTAATGATCTTCCGACAATTTTGACTTCAGTTTCCTCAATAGGCCCGACCTTTGGAAAGCATTTGTTTCTTTCCATGTTTTGCCATTGTACGTATAAAGTGAACGTGGGCAAAGAAGCAAGGGAAGAGGTCAGCATCAGCACCGATTCGCATTTACGAGCTCTCACATGCACTCCCGCGTCCGTCCAGCGATCAGGACAAGAAGAAGTAGCCATCGACCAGCGTACGTCGGGCCTCACGTTGCAGATCTCAGGGCTCTGCGGCTATTTTCTGCTGGACCCGGGAAATCTTAACTCTTGTCATGTATTGCGGTGCCTTTGCTTTGTTAGACTAATCGATTTCATTAGCGACCCAGGAGTGAATGAATGGCTCGTACTTAACGATCCATTACGTCTCTGTGAGTTCTGTGAATTCTTCTGAGTCGCCGCTACTGCCGTTTTGCTGAGGCTTACGCGTTGTCTTTTGCCCTTTTTTTGAGCGAGACAATGTGCACACGTGCGACACCTGGCGTTTAGGCTGGCGCACACGGCTTTGGTTATTTGATTTGATCTGTGCGTCGATTTGGTGGAGGAAGTGGTTTTGCTCAATTCCTCCCCGGGCAACAATATCTGTACGATTCTTTGCCATTTAAGATACCCCACCAGCGTGTCATGTGAATTGCTTGCTTCGTTTGGTGGAATCTAACCCAAAGATTTTCCCATTTAAAGAAAGGGGGCTCTCTCTATTGGTCAGCAGTATCTGCAATGTGGCCTTTAATTTACTGACCAAATCGATCCTTGTCTTCTAGCTCGCTGAAGGACCATATGCCAACTCAAGCCTCACATAACACTGCGTGAACAAAAGTCTGTGAACCCCTGTCCCTTCTTTGGCCTCTCTCTCTCTCTCTCTCTCATATATGAGGATGTAAATGAGGGTGGGTTGAGGCTGATCTTGCGTTATCTGAGTTGTGGGGTTGTTCCTTTCAGGGCAAGGAGGGGATCCCTAGCTTGAGGTAGTGTGCAACAATGGGGGCCGGCGGCAGAATGTCCGTGCCGAGCAAGATCGACGACGGAGGCCACAAGAAGGGGGAGCCCCTCCGAAGGGTGCCCCATGCGAAGCCTCCGTTCACCCTCGGAGAGATCAAGAAGGCGATCCCGCCCCACTGCTTCAAGCGCTCCCTTCCCCGCTCCTTCTCCTACGTCGTCTCCGACCTCGCCGTGGCCTTCGTCCTCTACCGCGTCGCCACCTCCTACCTCCACCTCCTCCCGTCCCCGCTCGCCTGCGTCGCCTGGCCGGTCTACTGGGCCTGCCAGGGCTGCGTCCTCACCGGCGTCTGGGTCATCGCCCACGAGTGCGGCCACCACGCCTTCAGCGACTACCAGTGGGTCGACGACGCCGTCGGCCTCGTCCTCCACTCGGCGCTGCTGGTCCCCTACTTCTCGTGGAAGTACAGCCACCGCCGCCACCACTCCAACACGGGCTCGCTCGAGCGCGACGAGGTGTTCGTCCCCAAGCCCAAGTCCAGGATGCCGTGGTTCTCGAAGTACCTGAACAACCCGCCGGGCAGGCTCCTCACCCTCACCGTCTCGCTCACCCTCGGCTGGCCCTTGTACCTGGCCTTCAACGTGTCGGGCCGGCCCTACGATCGCTTCGCGTGCCACTACGACCCCTTCGGCCCCATCTACTCCGACCGGGAGAGGCTCCAGATATACGTCTCCGACGCGGGGATCATGGCGGCGACTTACGGGCTCTACCGCGTCGCGGAGGCGAAGGGCCTGGCGTGGCTCGCCTGCACGTACGGCGTCCCGCTGCTCGTCGTCAACGCGTTCCTCGTGATGATCACGTACCTGCAGCACACCCACCCGACCCTGCCGCACTACGACTCGTCGGAGTGGGACTGGCTGAGGGGGGCGCTGGTGACGGTGGACAGGGACTACGGGGTGCTCAACAAGGTGTTCCACAACATCACCGACACGCACGTGGCCCACCACCTCTTCTCCACGATGCCTCACTACCACGCGATGGAGGCGACGGAGGCGATCAAGCCGATCCTGGGGGAGTATTACCAGTTCGACGGCACGCCGGTGCACAGGGCGATGTGGAGGGAGGCGAGGGAGTGCCTGTACGTGGAGCCGGATGAAGGCAGCGAGAGCAAGGGCATCTTTTGGTACAAGAACAAGTTTTGAGAGACTCGTTTGCTTCTTGACAAGGGTGGTTTAGAAGGAAAGCAAATATGTAGTAGCTTCAGCGTGTAATGTTATAACAAGCTCTCACTTTTCTGTGATGATAGCTTGTTTAAGTCTTTTGGTTTAATTAGAATCTGATAGTGGGCTTTGTAATGGGCAGCTCAGAGCACGCATGGAATCCATTCTGGAGCAGAAATTCTACTCCAGAATGCATTCCGGAATAAAAATGCGTTTGTTAAAATAATTTTGGACTGCATTCTGGAGCAATTTTTGCATTTTGAAATAAAAACGCGTTTGGTAAAACTTCATTCCTTTTTTTTGCTCTAGAATGAATTTTTGCTTTCAGAATCAGTTTTGGCCCAAAAAAGAGAAGCTACTTTTTGTAGCTTCTCTCTTCCAGAATGCATTCTAGCCCAAATTTCATTTTTTACAAGAAATAAAAAATTTAAAAAAATAAAAAATCAAAAATTTCAAAATTTTACAAAATGGCTTAGAATACCTGTGGCCATCCACTTTGAGTGAAATTTAAATTTTTTAAGGTGCCCGAAAAAAATCAAAAAATCAAAAATTTCAAAATTTCACAGAATAGCTTAGAATACCTGTGGCCACCTACTTTGAGTGAAATTTAAATTTTTTGAGGTGCCCAAAAAAAAGAAAAATAATAATAAAATAAAAATTTTCAAAACTTCACAAAATGACTTAAAATACCCGTGGCCACCCACTTTGAGTGAAATTTAAATTTTTTGAGGTGCCCAAAAAAATAAATAAAAAATTTCAAAACTTCACAGAATGGCTTATAATATCTGTAGCCACCTACTTTGAGTGAAATTTAAATTTTTTGAGGTGCCCAAAAAAATAATAAAAAATAATAAAAAATTTCAAAACTTCACAGAATGGTTTATAATATCTGTAGCCACCCACTTTGAGTAAAATTTAAATTTTTTGAGGTGCCCAAAAAAATAAAAAAATAAAAAAATTCAAAACTTCACAAAATGGCTTAGAATACCTGTGGCTACCCACTTTGAGTGAAATTTTAATTTTTTTAGGTGCCCAAAAAAATTAAAAAAAATCAAAAATTTCAAAACTTTACAGAATGGCTTATAATACATGTGGCCACCCACTTTGAGTAAAATTTAAATTTTTTTAGGTGCAAAAAAAATCAACAAATCAAAATAGATTTCTGTTCCAGAAATCAATTTCTGGAGCAGAATTAGTCATGTTTTACCAAACAGATTTCTCCTCCAGAAATTAATTTCTGGCAAGAATTCCAAAAATCAAATTCTGGAGCAGAATGGTTACCATTCGCACCCTTAGTGTGTTAAATGTGTGGTTTGGCTCTTCATGGAAAATTCACTCCGTAGCTCATCCCATCTCTTTTTGCTTGGGTATTCCTTAATTTACAAGCTCGATTACCCTCTAGCAAGTCCATTGGACCTTCCGCCGGTTTGCATTATTATGACACGCCTGGGCTATGACATAATCCACGGGGCAGGGCAATTCACAGGACAAACGCACGTGAAAGAGTCTTTCTATTCGAATGGCCAAAGGACATGGATTTGCAATTTCTAGGTCCTATCCTGCACGTTGGGTGATCACGACTGCTTGTCAGCAATACGTTTCCATTCGGAAGATAGAAGGGAGGCCCGAGCTCATTAAGAATATGTCTATTTGCTTGAAAGTTCCACCTCAGGAACAAGCAGAGCTATACAGTTCAAATCTACCATACACTGGTAGTGATAGATGACCGTGTTATGTTCTTACCTTTCAAAGAGGATTCGAATATCGCGCTGCACTGCACCGCACCCCGATAAGGGCAGAGATTAGCTCTCAAATCCATTCGTTAGCCACTGCAGCCAATTCAGAACCTCCAGGAACTTTGCTTAAAAGTAATAAGGAAAGAACACCAATCCCTGCATTTCACGTAACTAAGCTACCGTGCCATTTCAGAAAGATATACAAGTTTTTTAGACTAATTTCGTCGCCCCTCTCTCTGTCTTCTGTCTAACTTTTCGCTCGAGGCTAGAAATGCAGTTAATACCACAAAGATTACATTTTTTACTCCCTGATGCCAGCAATTGACAACCTTGCCATGACACTATTGGAGCTGACAGTGCAGTCACTCTGATTTCCTCACTTTAATTTGCTGAGTTCCGCATTTCAATTATGAAACAAGTCTATCTAACAAATACATCGAGATAATATGGTCTCCTCCCAGTTCCTGCCATTTATACATACGTGAAGTATATACTCTTTCAATTTTCAAATTACTAACAATATTCCTCAACGATGTAGCTACATAAGTCGCCGAGCCCAGATAGAGCGAGCTGTTCTTTTCAATCGACATTTTTAGGACAGCATGACTCCATCCATTCGCATTCGTAATTAGAAAGAAATAATTACGATGATGATATATAGAATTCCCAAAGGAGAAACAAGCTTTTGGGTTTGTCATAAACAACATAAGTACTTAAATGAAACTGTAATAGGACAGAAAACTGCAGTTTACTCAAGATGCAAATATACCCACGTCAGAAATAAAACTTCTTTGCGGAACATAACATGACTTGCAGCAAATGATTACTGGAGACCAGAGTCATAGCGCACATAGGGGGTGTTTGGTTCAGCTTTGGGAAGGGCTTTGAGCCTCGAAAGCCCCTTCCCAAAATGCTAGAGTGTTTGGTTCAGCATTTGGCCTAGCATTGGCCAAATGCTAGCATTCCACGAATGCTACTGTTCACTTTTTTTTCTTTTTTTTTAAGTTAGGGTTTGAAGCTGCTGTTCTTCTTCGGCGAGGGTGGCCGGCGAGGGCGGCCGGCGAGGTCGCCTGGGGTCGGGCGACCGCCCGGGGCGGCTAGCCGTCGCTAGGGTCGCTCGACCCGGGTGATCGTGCAACCCGGGCGGTCGCGTGACCCAGGCGCCGGCCGCTGGGTCGCGCGACTCAAAGGGCCAGGCCAGGGTCGCGCGACTCGGGCGGCCGCTTGGGTCCGCGACCAGGGTCCCGCCTGGGCGAGGTCGCCCGGCCTCGGGCGCGCCGGCTCGGCGGCGGCCGCCGGCCCCAGATCTGGCCCGCCGGCGGTTGCCTGACCTCAGGCGACGGCCGCCTGCGCCAGATCTGGCTCGCCGACGGCCGGCCGGCGCCAGATCTTGGCGAAGGGTAATAAGTTAGGTTTTTTTATTCCCAAAGTCCATTTGCAAAAAAAATTCACCAAATACTATATTTTGGCCAAAGTAGCTTTACAAAATATTTTTACCAAACACTACTTGCATTTCCCCAATTGGCTTTCACCCAAAGGTATTTGCATTCCCCCAAGCAGCATTTTCAAAGTTGAACCAAACAGGCCCATACTAAGACTCACGACAGACTAAACATAACCCGACTATTACATCGAATGACAACTGTAGAGTAGAGTCATGATGCTCAAACTAGGACTCATTAAAGACCAAGGAGAAGATAAAATCTCCAACTTTGACTAAAAGACCAGAGATTACGACAATAATCAAAACTACTAAAGCAAAGGAAAATGACCCTAAAACCGACAAGATAGTTTTCCTTGCCGTTTCCACAGATTACTACTTGGTTCATTTTCCATCCTCAAGAGTCATCAAGCTGGTTCCATTTTGACAACAGAAGCATGTTCAAACCCCCAGCCTGTAGTAGCTTCAAGAGACGACCCACCAGCGCCTGGCTCAAGGTTCTCTGTGGCATTGAGGAGTGCCTCGAGTTTTCTTTTCCTTGCATGGCCGCTCATATGGCCTCCCAAGGCATAACCACTAGGAAAAGACCTGTTACACAGAGTACACACATAATTGCGGGGGAAACTAGATTGGGCCGCGCTGCCACTCCTCATTAGCAAATCCTCTTGTGAGTTCCTCAGCCAGGAATTGTTTGGCATAAACCCAGCAGTACCATGGAATCCGAGAGCCTGAGTGGCAACTTCGGCATCCGGTGGAACCTGCTGAGACCTCATTGGGATGAATTCAGGAGCATATAGCGAAGATGGCAAGATCCCAACACGGAATCGCCCAATTACCAAAGCACAGTGAGGGCCAGCGTTGTCCAAAAATGGAGTTTGACCATTTCTGACACCATAGGGGTGACGGTTCATCCGATACATTAAAGCATTAAATGGCTCAAAACAAGATTGCAGGTTCGTCATGTCTCCTAGTAGGCTAACAAGACCAGATATGTCAACCATGGAGAAACATGGCTCAAATACTCTAAAAGAATCAGAGATCAAACTAGAGGCATAAACCTGATTGTTTGCCTGAATAAGAGTATTTGGTTCAACATCTGGTGATAAGGAAGATCCAAAAGCAACACGATTATAAAGCGAGTGCTGTGGCAAACTGAAGCAGTTTTGGCTGTATCTGGTCTGGATGTGATTTGGGAACTTGAAGGCTCTCTGCGTTGGGTCAGGTATATTGGGAAGCCGATTCCCAACCCTTAGTACTCCAGGACTATTAGCTTGTGCCTCCATTGTTGAAAGAACGCTCCCGTGAATCTCAAGAAGTTTTGGAAATTTTTAGAGAGGAGAAATTGTGAGCTACCTCTCTAAGCCACTAGGACACACATTGCACAGAACTACTGAAAGACACAGTCTTAAATAGCCGTGTCATGGGTGTGGAGAAATCAATGTGAACCCATAGAAACACTGTAGGAGATTGTGTTGGTAATTAATGCTTTACTGAGTTTAAGATGAGCATTACCATAACTACGGATGTTTTCAGCTGGCAAAGGTCAACGGAACTTTAGTGTATTCATTACATTTCTGCATTCGTGGCATTACATTTACACCACTAGTCGACAAACAAATTCAATAATATGCAGTTGTTAGAAAGAGGAGGATATCCTGGCTAATTCAAGTACAATCTTGCCACCCCTTAAATAAATAAACAAATAACGTATATTATGTGGAACCCGAAATGCTGATTGGTAAAACAGACTCCATTTACCCGTTTAAGGCCAAGGTAAGTTGGCCAAGAAACCATAGACATCAATATGATATCAAACACAAGCAACAGAACATATGCTTTAATCGCAGGCACGTCAATATGCCTAAACAATTCCATGAAAGGGGCATAAAAATGCCAGCCCACGCATGGGATTAGTGTTCCAAATATTTAAACATCACACGACACTCCCGTTCTAACAGTTGACACTAAAAGATTAACATAAGCTTGTGTGCAACCAGTGTATTAAATGGATGAGAGAGGTTATATAGCAACCATTAATTGGAAAGATAAAACATCTATTATTGGCAAACAAGAACAATAAACATCTAAAGAAGATGCATAATATTCTAGCACTTGTAGTGCATGCACATACGTCAATGAGAAAATATGGCAAACATTGGGCCCCGGGCAAACATGCATGAAGAAACAAAAAAAGAAGGTGCATAAAACTCTAGCACGTGTAGCGCATGCACATAAGTCAACAAGAAAATATGGCAAACATGGGCAGGCATTGGCCCAATTGATTCTTTTCCCCTCCTTTTGTGTAATAATCTTCTCTATTGAACGGTTTCAATTTAAGTCGGACTGCCATAGAGTACATGTAACATGGGGACCGCAAAAGTAGATGTCCGTATAACACAATGGTGAGAATCAAAGATCAACTATTACCAAAGAGTGAACATATCCAATATCTTGGATCTATTTCACAGACGGATAGAAACATTGACAAAGATACAATCCATAGAGTACAAATGGGAAAGCTGAAGTAGCGAAGTGCATATGGTGCTTTGAGTGGCCGCCGTCATTGAAGGCTTTTTTTTTGGGAGAGAGGGGAGGGGGTTAAAATGAGAGGAAAAGTTTGGAAGTCTTGAATTTTATGTGAGGGTGAATTGGAGGGAAATTTTAAATTTTCTTCTCCCACCCCATGTTTCCTCCCTGCTCCTATCTCCCAAACAAAACACAAGTCTTAGAAAAAACTCTACAGGAAACAATAAGCCTAGCATAATGTTGTCACGCTAAAGTATGCATGGTGGGATACGTGGACAGTTTTATGCACCTTGTCTATATATGTGTATCTGAACATCTTTTGCCCGTAATGGATGCTTATTCTTTTCAATTCATGTTCAATTCAACAACTTGTGGCCACACAAGCTCATGTTAATCTTCCAATTTTAACCGTCTAGGAGGAGCGTCTTATAATGTTTAAATACTTTCGACACTTTTCTCATATGTGACTTGCACATTTGTTGGGCTATAGCAGAGTCTATTCAGAGGAACTCTCACCTTGGTTAGGGTTGAACCGTTGTCACGATCAGAAAAGTTTTTGTCTTATAGTCCTCACTCCCAATTTTTCGAATTATTATTTGAAAGGAAAGAAATGGAGAGCTATAAAAAATGAGAATAGTCACATGAAGCTAGTTGGCATTCTGGTGGTAACTCCTTAGACACTTGGTCTTTTTTTGAACTTTTTTTTTCCCAATCTTCTCTAACTTTTAGGTTACATATCAGACGCACCCCCCCAGTGCTCTTCAATATACTTGCTTCTCAAAAACACCAATAAATCACAAAATATGTGTACAAGAGATGAAAATGCTTAGTAAAATGCCTTGTCCCCTTTGAGAAGACGAGAATAGGAACAAATCTATTACAGAGAAAGTGGGTAAGAAACTACGAATGGGCTATCCTGTGTAAGACCCTTTTAGCTGTTAGTTACACCTTGGGAAGAGGAAGGGCAAATAAACCTGGGAAGATGATCTGGAATTCTTGGTCTCAAGCAAAATCTTTTCCCTCCTCCGGAGACTTTTGAACAAGTACCTTGAGGAAGAAATTCTTGAAAAACAGGTGTTACCTTTGCAAAGAAAGGGAAAAGTACATAAGCCACTTCTTACTCCACCGTTCATGGTACCACCATATGGTCTTCTCTGTTTTGGGACTTCAAACGAGAATTGCCAAAGAAGCAAGAACCATGCTGAAGGAGCTTACAGCTTGATTAGGTAGCTATTCTTGTAAAATAATAGGAAAAAGACCATCATTCCGAGCTACTAAGCCTACGATTCCTCTTGCAACAATGTGGCTAGTGTGGAGGGAGAGAAATGGAAAAGCTCATTTGTTGAGAGGAGAGGAAATATTTTCAATAGGATGATAGGATCTCATCATTGGGTGCCAATGGCCTTACTGCACTTTTGTTTAATCATTCCTAGTATATGAACCTTGTGTTGTCAGTACATCACAAAAAAAGTGAAGAGTTGTAGTTTTATATATAGCAAGGTACAATGATCATCATTTTATATTTTCTATATACATCTGTTTTGGCTTAAGGAGTGCCCTGACACTACTTGTCAGCATCTTCCTTGTCAAGTATCACTCTCTTGGTTCTTAGGATTAATTATCAAGCTGAATCCAAACCAAATGTGATTGATGTCCAATAATTCGTGCACTCTTTTTTCTGGTAAATGATCCTACATGGGCACCTCCAGGCGCTTCATGAGTTAAGTACATTCCTTATCTAACCAAAAAGAATTAGTAACAATGCCGAATTACAGATGTCTGTAACTAGAAAAGCCAGGATAAGAAAATGTCAATGCCATCTCTTACAATACGAAGCATGAAATTACAGTATATCACCCTCAACATTCAAACAATCAACAGATATTGGTAACTGCGGCCTCGGCACACCAATCAACCAAAGTCATCGCTAAGGTAAAGACATCATGCTACATCGTAAACCAAGCCCGCATGGAAAGATGACATCCTAAACAGGTTTCCAACACGTGCCTATCAATTAGTAAGGCTTCCCATCGAGGGAGCAGTTTTCGTTCGCATCCCTTACCTGGAAGATAGACGTCCGGCATTTGCTCGGGGAGCCCACCGAGGTCAAACGATTCCCGGCACGAATCGAGCTAGGTTTTTGCCGAGCGTTCGGACCGAGGAGCTATAAGAACGGTTCCTTTTCTCCCGAATCCTTCCTCGCCCGCCTGCAAATCAAGAGCCCGGGATTCAAAGTCGGAAACGCGGAAAGAACGAGAGAAACGACTCGAGGCGATTCCTCCAGCGGACGCCAGGTGAAGATAGAGAACCCTGCGCGGCTTCGGCCATGGAGTTCGCCGTCCGTGGTCCGGCGCAGCTCGATCTTCCGGCGACCGTACGCCGCTCGCGAGTTTTCCGGCACGGGGTTTGATCTGAATCGGAGCAAGGGACTGATGGACTTGATGGACTGGTGGGGGCGAGAGAGAGCGCCTCAGCATTTTCGCCCAGGTGTGAAATTTTTCTCGTTTTTTTTTCTTTTTTTTTGGGTGAATATTATAATTAAAACTTTTGGTCTACTATATGATTAATTACCACATAATACATAGCAAAACCCTTGACTTGATCAAGTACACCTGGGCATTAAGGGTACGTTTGATAACCATTATGTTCCCCGAAACAATTTCTACTCAGAAATAAAAAAAATTTATTCCATTCCTAAAAACAATTTATAAGGGCGCGAATGATAACCATTCTGTTTTAGAAATCAATTTCTGGCCAGAAATAGATTTCTGTTTCTATTTCATGGATGAGTTTCTGAGTAAAAATACGCGTTTGATAATGACACAAAATTTCTGTTCCTGAAACAAAAAATTTATTTGATAACGGCATAAAATTTATCTCTCTCGGGTGACCAACGAGTGGACGGCAGCGCGGCCAATGCGGAGAGGCGACCTATGTCGGGCAACAATAGGCAGCTAGCGACAGGAGGCAAGCAGTGGCCCACAGCAGCCAACAGACGGCGGGAGGTGGCAAACGGCAGGTGAGCGGCGGCGGGAGATGGGCGGTGGTGGGAGGAGGGTGGCGGCGAGAGGTGGCCCACAGCGGCCAACGAATGGCGGGAGGCAACGGACGGTAGGCGGGCGGCGGGTGGGCGACCGGCTAGTAGCGAGGGCGAGCGATGAGAATAATTTTTATTTCTCATTTTTGTTCCAAAAATAGAAAAAAGTAGAAAATTCGTACTTCTCATTTCTTTTCCAAACTTATTTCTGAAATCAAAATTTGTTCCATAAATAGAAAAATGAAATTGCGTTACCAAACGGATTTCTGTTCCAAATCTGTTATCGGGAACAGAAAAATAGAAAAATCGAGAAACAGAATGGTTATCATTCGCAGCCTTGAAAACTGCCCAAAATTTTTATTCCTGAAATAGAAAAAGAACAGAAGTGAGTTTGGTAACAGCACAAAATTTCTTTTTATTAATAATATTTTGAATTTTGTAATATTTCTTTCTCTTTTTTTTCCTTTTTTTTCTTTTCTTTTTTTCTTCTTTTCCTTCCTTGGTCCATGGTCGGCGATTGGCCACAGGCCAGGGCCAGCAAGGGCAGCTCACGGCTTAGGCGAGGGTCCCGTGAGGGTCCAGCCCTCGCCCTCACTGGTCACCGCCCAGGAAAGAAGAAGAAAAAATTTCTTTTCCGTTTCTGATTCTTGTTCCCAAAATCAATAATCAACTTTTTTTTTATTATTGATTCTGTTCCAAAACTATTTCTGGGAGTAAATTTGTTTCCGGAAACAAAAAATTTACCAAACTGATTTTTATTCTTTTTTTGTTCCCGGGAACAAAATAATAGAATCATGCATTGTTTGGCCGGTTACCAAACAGGCACTAAATCAACCAATTAGATGATGCTTCTTTCTCAACTGCTCTACATGCATGTGAGCCGAACTCGCATGTTCTTTCAAACATCATATAGTCGATTGAGAGTCTCGAAATCGACAAAAAATCTTATAGATCAACAACTATGTCGCATAATCGGCAACTTTATCCTTGAACCTACATAATTAAATTGCACTGCAGTAGAAATTCACTTTAGCTTGCATGAAAAGCGAAAGAGTTGGTCCAATCGACAAAACATGAGTTGAACTTGAAAGCTGATGGATAGAGCCAGATCTTCTGCATCGAACTCCAAGACAACCTCTTCAACGAACTAGATAATACATTAGCTTCGTACAAATAAATATATCTAAGGCTCGCTCAAAAGCTGAAAAATATATCAGACATACTTTGACAATTGATTAACACTTTGAGAGAGAATGCTTTGCTGAATAGCAAATGAGAGTGGGGTCTCTAGCCATTATAATCGTTTCCTCTCCATCTAAAACTTGAACACTTGCCTCAACAGATTTATTTGGAGATTCACCATCCATAATATCCATAGTAGCTTGATGGCATTTGGTTGACCAAAATCTCTCGTTTTTCAATTTGATCTACGATCTTGTCTCGCTCCTTGGGTACTGGGTGCTAACTCTACATGGTAAGGATCTTTGATGAGCCTCTCGAATTTTCAAGTCATTCTTCTCAATTTCTTGAATGGTGATAACCTCTGATAAGGACAATTCACTTGTAGATGCCCATAGCTGTGGCAGTTAATGCACGTGTTATTTTGACCATTTAATTCTTTTTGGAGCTCTTTAATGAACTTGGGGGCTTTCCATTTCATTCTCCTCGGGAAGTACTCTCAATCTGGTTAAAATAGTACTCTTGCAGAAGGACATACATTTAGTTGAAGGCTTGGCCGAAAATCTCTAGTCGCCCTTTGGTCATTTCTTTAGGAGAGAGAGGACTCTCTCCATTTTTCGTTGGAGATATGTTAAGGCACGATCGCGCCTTTTATTATATGCTTGCTCCAAAATTAAATATCTTAGAACTTGATTGTCCACTTTTTGTTTTGTTTTTGTTTTGAATGGGAGTATGGAATGGATAACGGAAAGATATCTCTCAAAACGAGTTAAACCTTGAGTCTTGATACCAATTTGATGCGATTGCAGAATGGGCGAATGATGTTTTGAGTGATGTCGAATGAAGTACGGATAGATCTAAAGTGCAAAGGGATGATTGTCAATGGATAAATGAAAATGCGGGATAGATTATGATCACAACCAAGGCCTTAAAGCGTGCTACCAGCCAGCGATAAAGATCGGGGTTGACGAAATTCACCACCAAAGCTTAAAGGACGAACCACCTGCTAAGGATAAAAGACTTTAGGATAGGAGAAGGTCAACACCAAGACATTAAGGAAAATCCATCAATCAAGGATAAAAGGCTTATTGACTCACAAACAAAGAAGAATTGACCTTCCACGAATAAAGAGAATGTGGATAGAAATTCATTCACACAAACGAAAATCTGAGGGGGACGTGTAGTTTCAGATGTGGATTTCGACTCCTACGTCCTGCAAGAAGCAGGGCAAAAGTCTGAGAGTTAGTTGAGATTTAGAGCATGATCGACAAAAAAAAAAAGTTTAGTCTCATTTACAAATGAGATTACATCTTTATTTATGGAGGTCCTACTAAGGGCCCGTTTGGTAACGTCTCAAATAGTGAAAATTTCGTTCTTTTGTTCGAAATAGTTTGAACGAGCAATGCGTTTGGTAAACTTTTTGTTCTGGGCACATTTTTGCAAAAATTTGTGCCGAGAAACGAGTTTTGGAAGAGAAACAAGAAGTAAAAAAAGTTGCTTCTTGTTTCTCGGAACAATTTTGAGAATCAGTTTTTTCTTCTTTTTTTTTTTTTCTTTTCTTATTTTGTGGTGTTGTTCTTCCCTGGTGGCCGGCCGCCGCTGACCGGCCCGGCGACCGACCACGGCCCAGGCCGAGCGGGCGTCACGGCCGCCGGCGGAGGCGAGGTCGCCTCGCGGCGAGTGGCGAGGCCGGACCTCGCCGCCGGGCGAGCGGCCTTGCCCAGATCAAGCGAGGCCGAGCCTCGCCGCGATCGCGTCGGACGACGGTCGCCTCGCCGAGAGGCGAGGCTCGGCCTCGCGGATCGGCGAGGTCAGCTCCGCAGATCTGGGCTAGGCGGCGTTGCCTCGCCAGCGGCGAGGTCAGCCCTGCCTCCGCCAGGCGGCGAGGCGACCTCGCCTCCTCGCGGCGGGCGGGCCGTGACTCCTCGCGGCCTTGGGGGCCGGCCGATGGCCATGGCAAGAAGAAAATGGATAAAAAGAAAAAAAAAATTAAACAATTTAAAATATTATTAAAATATTATTTGGGAACGAAATTTTGTGTAGTTACCAAACGCATTTTCTTTCTTTTCTACTCTAGGAATAAAAATTTTGGACAGGTTTATCAAACGCCTTCAAATACTGAAATTGTTTAGACAGAAAAAAATCATTTCGTTGAAATAGCAGAATGTGAGATGTTACTAAACAAAAGAAAAGACTCTTGAATGCATATAACTAAAATCATACGCATGGAAACTTGGTAAGACCCTCTGAATTCGTGCACCGGTTTTGGAAGCTGAACATACCTTTGAAGCTGAACAAACAGTGAAGGAAATCGATGAAAATAGCCTCCGGTCGTTAGGCAGTCATCGATTGAGAGTCTCAAAATTGACAGCAAGCCTTGTAGATCTACAATTATGTTGCGTAATCGACAACTTCACCCTTGAACTCACGTAATTAAATTGTAGCAGAATTTGGCTTTAGCTTGCATAAATAGTGAGTGGGTTGGTTCAATCAACAAAACATGAGTTTAACTCGAGAACTGATCGATAGAGCCAAATGCTCCCGTATCAAAAGCGACAAGCTGAGTTGTCAGTCAACATCGAAACAAGTTGTCAACTCCAATATAGATTGAGTAGAAAAATGAAGGCCATAAAATAACGTACTCCTTGATGCAACGAAGAATTCAAAGAATTGCAACAAACTATCTATCAATAGAATGTAAGATTCGAAAGAGGAGTCCCATCGCTAGTATCAAATTCGACATTGATTTCAAGAGGAGTTATGCTATTAATATGAATGGCCGGTCACGTTACTTTTCTTATGTAATCGATGCATGTAATCCTTTTTTGTGCGTAAGACTCTCCTGCATCTGCGTAAGTTGGAAGAAGTGCTTGAGAGAGGACATAATCTGCCGTGGAGTTTTCAGCAACTCGGTTTACTCCTCGAGTTCCAAATGATCAAGAAAATGTAATGTACGATAAGGGTTTTATACCCAACACTAGTCTCTTCGTGCGTCCGTCGATCCTCAAACAAGCAGCTCGTGTTCAACACATAGTAAGTTTGGCGAGATTAAAGCCATAATTGGGGCAACGATCGTTCCACAACCAAGCCAACGATTGAGCCGAGATCAAACCATGGCTGAAGTTTTAACGGGCCAAGGGGGTGAGATTGAAGCGATTAGGGACAATGATCGTCCTGCAATCAGGCGAACGGTCGAGTCGCGATTATATGGGCCAATATATCGAATTTACAAATCAACCTGA